AAATGGATGAACTTTTAGAATCAATAAATTCAAAATCAAATAAAGATTACCAAGGGCCAAATGCTAAGCGATTCATTCGTTTTACTAGTTTTCACTTTTCAGGTAGACATATTAATCAGTCAATAATTTCATGATTTCTATGTTTCCATTGGTTTTTGCATTTCTGTTGAACTGACTTGTAGTTTTTTTTTTAATGATAGCATGTTACTTAACATGCTTCAACAAACAATGGCTTTTTGACTTTATCATGCTGCAGATTTTATTTTTGGTGGTGTACTCTAATCTATAATTTTTGCTGGAATGTGAGTCTCACAAATTCTTCGAGATTCTGATTTATTTCTGTTAATTTTTATAAGTCCATGCTCTTATTTTTTACTTTTACATGAAATGGAATTACTCACAGAGTGCTGAATGAGCTTATTGTCCAGTTGACTGTGGAACCGTAGCAACATGGATATTGAAAAACACAGCTATGTTGTTAGGTTATTTGCAATGCCTCTAATATCAGGTTCCTGCACATGAACAGATGTAAAATCATAAGATCAAGTAAAATTTTAATGACTATAGCTTTTATCAGGACAGAGGAAGAGGAATTTCTAAGAAATTGAAAATCCAATTGAATATGAAGAAATTGCCCACATATATCAGAAAGGAAAGAACATATATTCTCATTTAGACTCGCATAAATAGTTCTATTTTACTGCAATCAAAGCACACTTAGATCAGAAATCATAAATCTGGGTTTTATCTATTTTAATAGAACTGTTTTAGTGTGCTAAACAATGGTTAGTTCATGCTTATATGTTTCTTATTCTTTCAATTACATATACTAACTTGTTTGCTGCAATTTTTACTTGCCAGTTCTGGGTTCTGCTTGAAGGTTTGTGATTTTATAGTCAACCTTTTGGGACATATTAATCTACGAACTATCAATCCTTTTGAACATATTGGACTTCACAATATTCTATTGAACAGGAAACAAATGGAAATATGGGGACTATTGCCATGGCATATTAACATTGCTTTGTTTGAAGATTGTGGATAGTTTTCAATGTTGCCGACTGTCATTTCTTGGACTGTTCTGAGATGTAAGGTTGTGATTATGCATGCAGCTGCTACAAGTTTAGTTTATTAATTTTCAAGTTTTTTTTGACAATGATGACTGTAATAATTGTATTTGGATGGCTTTTTCTTCGGATGGTTGTACGCTAAATTAAATATTAATCGTATTTCAGTTATTTAGATGATGTGTTGAGTTTGTTTGAATATATGATAATAAATTACACTTCGTCCAACCCGACCGACCGACCCAACCCAACCCAACCCAACCCACAAATGAATAGGTTGGGTAGGATTGGGTTTCAACATTTTCATAGGTTGGATTGGGTTCGATTTTGAACAAACCGATCACGTTGGGTTGGGCCAAGAATCGATCCAATCCAATCCACGCCCATCCATTTATATGTACTATGTCCCACTGCAGAGAAGTATTTCTTAAAAAGCTTAGCTTAGCTGACAACACCGGTTCAATCCTAGAGCAATATAACAATGCATGGTTTATATCTTCTTCCTCTCTGTTATAGAATTTACAGCTTGCATCTTCTACCACTTTCTTGGATAGTAGATTTCGAAGTGTTGGCAGCCCATTGTGGCAAACTCTCCATGCAAACACACGTATCTTATGGGGGATTTACATTTTCCAAATTTTATTCCACATTTCCGTTGATCTTCAGCATAGGACACCTCACCTAGCTGCTTAGCACCATTAGTCTTCAAAAACAATCTGTAACCACTTCGTACTGTATAAACACCATTTTCTCTGGTTCCCAAATCATTACATCCGGTCCGTTAAGTCCTCCTACTAATTGTATTTGGA